GCGAAGCAGGTGTGAGCATCTAGGTGCTGGTCCTCCATCTTGCCTATACCCAGGAGGCTGCGATAAAAGCTCCACAAAGCTCCAGAGATGGAGCGTCGCTCACCTTGAGTAACGGGCCCCCATGAGCCAGCACCGAAGAAGAGCTTCGGAAGGACAGACGAGCGAAGAATGAAGGCTTTGCGCAGGAGACTGATGGCGGGATTACGATAGACTTTCCTGCGTCCTTCCGCGAAAGCAGCACGCGCTTGCGATATGCGGTAGGCAATCTCAGCTCGCAAGCCACCTCCGGGGGTTTGTTGACTGCCCAGGTGACGGTAGGAGGTAACCACCGGCAGGAGAACCCCTGGACCGGAATCGCAGACGACTGGGATGTGGCCTCTCAGGCCTGATGCGCTAAAAACGGCTTGTTTGGCTCGTCGGCTCCCGGCCCCAGACAGAGCCAGGACGGCAGCTGTTTTGTTGGGCGCAAAAGAAAGGGTGAAGCCAAATTCCCGCAGGGCGTCAGAGAGGCAGCTTGCTTCTATCCCAAGGGCGCGCGCCGCCTGATGCGGTTGCGTTAGCCGCGGGATGGCGATATCATCCGCCCACACCACTTCGGAAATCTCAATGTGGTCGGAGCAATCATCGCATGCCTGGAGTGTACGCATGCCATCCCATGGGAAAGAAGGTGGGCGAGAAACCTGTGCACACCCGGCTCGAAGCTCATTGCGTCGGAGCAAAATGCGCTTGATGAGGGCGGCGAAAATGAGATCCGCCCAGGACGAGCCCGGGCGGGAACCTTTGGCCGTGGCGATCACAGTAGTATCCCCCTTGAGGAGGAAATAATTGCCCTCTTGCAGTCGGCATGTGAGGGCTTCCAGCCAAGGGGAAGCACCCCCACCGGCTAGGGCTGATGGCTCAGCCAAATGCTCCGCCAAAGCCTCACGTTCATCAGGGGAGAGCTGGAGGCTGTCGAGGAATGTCGCTGGATCAAACCCATCCGGGGTTGCCTCAGTGTTGGCCACCAGGCGTTGGATCACGCAGTAAAAGGCAGAGGCGATGTCAGCAAAGAGTGTGAACTGAGTCTGGCTGGCCGCTATTGCAACCCGACTGATGCCCCGGATAAGCTGGCTGCCAAACATAACAGTGCATTGAGACTTACCTCCGAGCTGCAAGCTGGGAGCCTGGTGTTCGAAGAAACTCTTCATTGGCGGTCGCAGGGCTTGGTGGACAATCTTGGACCATACAGGGAGAAGTAAGATGGACCGGTAGGAGGTGCATTCCTGAAAACTGCCTTTGCCTTTGTAGAGCCAAATGGCCTGACCAGCCTTGTAACCCAGGGCTTCGGAACCTCGCCATGAGGTCTTCAAGGCAAGATGGTGCAGGTGAGGGGACAGAGTCTCGGCAAAGATGCGCCCAAACTCATTGGGTATCCCGTCCATCCCCGGGCTTTTGCCTGGCTTCGCACGCAGAAGAAGGCGACGAATGTCGGCACATGTGGGCAGAAGACGGATGTCAGGAGGCGCCGGCCATGCGACAACGGCTGTGGCACTCTGGTCGATGCGATTCTGGGCCTCAGTGAGAAACTGCTCAAGGGCAAACTCACGACCACCTTCCAAGCCCCCAAAGTGTTGGCGCCAGCGCCTGAGGCTGGAATCTGAATCGGGGCATACTTTTCCCTCCGCATCACGAATAGAGGGGAGGGGGTCTGCACGATAGGGTTTCTTGCGCTTATGGGACAGAAGCCTATGCAAGTTACTGAAGACCTCTGGGGTCGGGCAGGATGAAAGCTGATCCGCAAGCTTACTCAAGTGAAGGTTGCGGTCCTGCTTGCAAGCTAGCTTTAAATGGCGTCCTTGGTGGCGCAAGACACTGAGGTGGGCTGCCAAGGCGAGGTCCGCACGGCGCCACCAGGTGGCTCCGTCCACAAGGGAGGAGAACAAATTAGTGCCACGCCAAAGGTGGAAACAGACCGCCATGAGCTGCATATGAACCTGGCGTTGAAGACGATGAAGGGACCGGCGAGTAGCAGCCACAGTACGTTGAAGTTGCCAAGTGGCCGGACTCAGATAGGACTGGTGAGGTCCCGCAGAACGCTGGGATTTGACTGATCCCAAAGTCTGCTGCACGTAGCTGACCAGATGTGCTGCGTGGGCATGCACTGAACAGTCCCATGGGAGGGGCTGAAAGCTCCGCAAGGCCGCACCAATTTTGGCTTGATTGGTGGGCTCACTGAAGAGGCTGACCGGGAAGCGACGTTGACGTGGGGCGGCCCCGAGCATGCCGGTGGCAGAGTGGAAAGCGACCTCAAGGACTGCAGCTGTGTGGTCTGGACTGCAGTGCGCAACATGGAGTCCCGGGGCTAGATAGGATTTGCAGTATTCCTTACACCAAGCCGACGGAATGCACACCATGTCAGGTCTGCAGAGCTGGCCATTACGCTTCTGCACGTAGGTGTGAGAATCGCCAACATGAAAAGCGTCCCACGTGGCAGGGATAGTGAGATCGAACTCACTCAACACCGAATGCAAAGCTTCACCAGCGGGATCTTCAAGCTCGGCAGCATGATCCCCAACATAATCAGAGGGGTTACTGCCGATGGACGCATTAAAGTCTCCCGCCAAAACAATGTTGTCCCGCATAGCATGATTGCGAATGAGAGCATGAGTCTCTTGCCACCAATGCTCGAGCGTTGCTGCTTCAGTCGCTCGGTGTGGGGCATGCAGGCCTACAAAGAAAATGCGGGTGGCTTTGCACGCTAAGCGGATGAAGAGTCGGCGGGGGTCCGAGAATACAACTGTGAACAGGTTCTCGCTGAAGGAGATGCTGGCTGGAGTGCCTGCAGCTACCGTTGTGCAAAACTTGAAACCTTCTTGGAACCACCATTCGACTCCGAATTGGCCGCTCAGTCCACCTGAACAGAACCTGACATAAGGGCCGCAGCGATAGACTCCAGAGTCGCAGCGGGTCTCCTGGAGGCATGCAGCCTGAATGCTGTGATCTGTGAGTTGGGCAGCCAGTAACTGGGCACGGCCAGGGTGCATGGCTAACCCTTCGCTATGGGCTTGGGGTGCAGTGGGGTTACAAAACCTGTCACTGAGGGAGAGCACATTGAACGTGGCCAGAGCCATCTGAGTGCGTACCGTGGCAGAGGATGTTGAAGAGGCAGGGGCCGAATCATTCGGTGTAGCATCCTTCCCTGGGTGCGACTCAGCAACAGTTCCGAGTGGAAGGAAGGGAGCTAGCATTTGGCCAACACTCATGCCAAAATGATTGGAATCGTCTCCGAGCTGTACGGAGTTAAGGTGCGGCAGGGTCGGGTCGCCAGCATAGCTCCGGATAGCAGTAGCCGCCCACGGGATGAGGGGGGCACCTCTTGTAAACCAGAAGCAGAAAAGAGCATCCGAGGTGCAAAGGCCTGCAGTAGGAGGAGAAAGTGAGGCGCCATATTTAGAAAGGCGGTCAGCTAACTCGTTACCAAAATGGCCTGCATGTCCCGCGATATGCTCAACAGAATCTGGTTGCATGAAAACATCACGTCTAAACTCAAAAATGTGGCGCATTGCCTGGCTGATGCCCCCCAAAGCGTATGTGGCCGCACCCCGCGCAATGTCAGAGGCGGAGGTGCAGTCGGACAGAAACCCGATGGGCCTATGGCACAGACCAACACAGGAGATGAGACAGGCATGCAAAAGTGCCGCGCACTCCCCCACAAACGGCGAGGGGGTGTAAGGCGCTTCACAAAGCCTGGGGTCTACAGCTCCGTAGGCAGCACTGAGCTGGCATGCATGCGGGTCAACAAACACACATGCCCATCCACATTTGGCCGCGTGCTGATCCGCAGCGGCCGTAAAGGATCCGTCAGTGTAGCAAAGAAGCGTGCCAGGGGCAAGCTCGGCGGCGAGATTCTGGATCTCATAACGGCAAGTATGCGCCGACCATTCGGAGAGAGCGGGACAATGCGAAAAGGCCTCCTCCAGGGAATGCACCTGCGCCGAGGAGCTGAAAAGCTGGAGTATGTCCCCGATGGAGAAACCAAGAGGTGTGCCTCCCAGTGAAAGTGGTTCCTCATGTGGCACAGAGTGTGCACTTGGGGCCAGGTGAAAGGAGCCAAAGGCAAGGGGCTCAGGCATGGCCGCTGGACCTCCGTGCGGCAGCAGGGCATTTAATATTATGGCCTGAGGTTTAGCCTGTAGGTGGGAAGGCTTCCATAAGCACGGAGAGGGTGGCTGCAGCGACAGCCGGTCCCGGGCAGCCTGGGTCTCGTACAGACATGCACAGCAATGTGCAAAAATGTGTAGCAAGCCGGCCGCCCAGACGGAGGGCATCGGGAGGACCCGTCCATAAAGTCAGGAGATGGAGCTCCGCATCTTCGGGACCTTCATGTCTCGACCCGGGAGGCAAACTAGTACTCAGTGCTCGGCACGGGGTGGGCAATGGTCTGGGGGGCTCTACACGGGCCTTGCCGTTTCTGGGGGCCTGAGAAGCGTACCCAGGTGCAGAGGCGCGTGGGTGAGGGGCAACTGCCAAACTGGGAAGAAACCGAGTACGCGTGGGAGTGGGACAATCCCGCGGCGGTGACACGGCTGCAGCTGTGCGAAGGCACCAGGATAAGGCGATCAGGACCCAGACGGGAGAGGTACATGTAGGCCTCCAGCGCGCTTGAGTCTTGTTTCGAGTGGAGCCTGCAGCAGGAGATGTATCTAGGGCCTCAGAGGAACCCTTACCGCAACTGCACAGGAGGACAGGGGTGGAACCGTGGCTGCCAGGTGCGCTGGCATTGGTGGGAGAAGGCACACGGAAACACTTGGCTACTCGACTGTGCAGGGAAGGAAGCGGAGCAAGGGGAGGGTGCGCAACATCAAGACTAGCCGGGCGCAAAGAGTCAGTTGCGCACATGTTGCGCACAGTTGCGCACAAGTTGTGCCAAGTTGCGCATTGGGAGCGCACGGGGTGCGCATCAGGCAGAATGGCTACTCTTAAACCTTCACGGTTGGTGCCGCCCGTGCCTGCATCCGCTGTTACAGGCGGCTGTGAATGGGGTGGATTGGATGACTGCGCGCTCGTTGGAGCAGGATCGGACGATCCAGGTCCAGGTTCCTCAGAAGAGCTGGACGAGTCAGAGGGGGAAGGAGGTCTAGGGGGTGGCGGCGGCAAGAATGCTTCGCGCGCTTGCGTGTGGGTTAGAAGCTCCACCTCCACAACCTCTCCATCCTGGACATCGATCGGCCCACGCAAGGGGAGTGTGCGAAAGTCCCTATGCGTGAAAGCAATCTCGAACACCCCAATGGGCATCTGGGACCGAACCTAGCAAGTAAGTCCTGGTGATCAAGACTATGACCCGGGGCTGTAACCCAACTATACCCAAGCATGAGGGGGCGTAGGTCCAGGATGACAATAGGATCGCGTTGCATGTGGTGTGTGATCCCTGGCGGTAGGATGGTCGCCACAACCACAGCCTTAGTGATGAACCCGTCGTGCATGTGGTTGGCTACCCATGGGGCTGCCGGACGCAGAAGCAGCCTGGTTGGCTCACACCCAAGACGGTCTGCGAGATCTTGTCGGATCAAGTGTCGACGTCCTCTTCGAACCAAGAACCCAAAGTGAAGCTCGTCGGCCAGAATCCATGCCGTATCCTGGAAGTTGCCTGGGTAAGCTGCTCTATGGTTCCACCCAGCACTATGCTGAAGCATATCTGATAGGTTGGTAGAGGGGAAGATTCGGTGATTCATTGGCAGAATCAAAACCAAATCCGCCAGAGCAGGCTGAAGAACTATATCATCTCCGATGGGCCATGGTGTGTCGTTGAAGTAGATGTGCACAGGAGCATCATCCGGCAGTCCAGCGAGGCGAAGCGCGTCGCGCCTCCTGAAAAGCGGCGGTGCAGCGACAGCAAAGAGCCTGTTATCCACTCGACAATCAACACACAACAGCACAGTAGGCACATCCCAGACCGGTGCTGCCATAAGTACCCCTCTCTCGGGAAAGGTTTGCGTATGAACCGGCAGCAACCTCGGAAACCGTCTCTTGGCGTTAGGCATCCTAGCAGCCGAAACTCGTGCCAGAACACCATGGACCGTTTGCGGTAGTCTGACCCGGACTCTAACCACTTCAGGCAAATATTCTGGTATAAGAACCAGAAAAGGAAGGTCAGTGAACTCGTCCTCCAGATCACCGACACTAGTTGTGGGGCCTGTGTCGTCGTCCAAGCTCGTTGCATGGTCAGCGGCACTGTGATCAATGGGAGGGGCAAAGCGGGAAGCATCTCCAGAGGAGGGTGGGTGCTCAGCATGGCCTGGTTGGGTCTGGGGATCGTCTGGTGCGCTATCAACGGCATCTGTAGGAGAGTGAAATGCTGGCGGGGCAGCCTCAGCCTGGATCACCTGTCCTGGAGTGACCTGGTAATACAACACACCAGGTGGTACTTCCGGTAGGTGAAGGGACCATCCATCAGGGAGGTCACGGGACAAAGCGACCTCAACAGCCCGAACATTGAGCAAGCCCTGCCTAACAAGGAAGGAGCACCACCCTGCATAGAATGGCCTGCAGTCCAAAAGGACTAGAAAGGTCTGGGGGTGTCTGTCGGTAGCAGGGAGTTGGGCTGCAGCGACCACAGTACGGCAGGGCATGCCGTCAAGAACGGCGTCCCCCACGCGAGGGTTGGCTGGGTAGAGCACAAGTTGCGCATATGGAATGCGAAGTGCGGCTGCGAGTTGGTGCCTGTACTGAGTGGGGCGCTCATTCTGGTATGAGAAGTGTACATTCTGCTGGTCCTCGACCACACAGTACACCACCCGGTCATCGGGCGGAAATGCAAAATGCTGCGCCCATAAGCTTGGCCGTCTGAACATGACGTCAATCGAAACTGCAACAGGGAGAGGCGCCTGAACCTGTGCAACGATCACAACCAAGCCATTGGAGACATGGATGGAAGCCTCTTCAGGAAGGGGTTGAGCATCATGCCCTACGAAGAAGGCTGCGTCAGAGCCAGGCGCCAAGTCGCACAGGTGTCTGAGCACCACAGGGTTGATGTAATCCGGGGCCAATGAGGCAAAATGACGCCCGTCCCAACGTGTGGCATCCAGGAAAATGGTTTTTTGTGCCTGCTCAATGGGTGCAAGTGCCACGAAAACACCGGCTCCAGGAATGGGTTGTGGGTCGGTCGGCGTAAGGAAGGGGAATCTCCTGGCCTGTGCTGGGTCCCGTTCTTCCTGGATGACAGCAACGGCTTCCTCGTACGTGCTCGGGAAATGTAAGGCCAAAGTCATCCATTCCGGAGCGTACAGGGGTGTATAGATCAGGATAGTTGCCCATGCTACCGACCCTGTATCGGAAACGATGTCAGAGGACTCAGGCTCATCCGACGACAGTGTAGGCGAATCGTCGTCCGTGGGCAGAGGCCAGTCATCTCCGAAATCCTGGGTAACTCGGCGAAGTCCTCGGACACGCTGCCTATTGGAGGAATTACTGCAGGGCAGGGGAGTTAGGGTCTTGCAGGCAAGAGGTCGCCAGGCACATGGGTGTCCATTGGGGGCGGAGCACTTAAACCTGCCTATAACCCTAAGGAGAAGGCACATGCATATGAAGGCCAGAAGCAGGTAACTGGCGGTATCCAGATGGAGGCACCTGTTGGCAGAACAATCAAGATGTGAGCATGGCTCCATAGCCTCGGCAGGACGGGCAGAAAAGTGTGCACCGTCGGCTCCAGTGGGTGAAGCCGCGCTCAGGGCGGCAGTGAGAGCACTGGTAGTAAGAGCTGCAGATGTCCTAGATGGCAGCACATGCGATCCTGCAGGGGATCTAGACCTGGATCTGCCTCTGGACCGAGATGTGGAGCGTGCAAACCTGGGATCGTCAGCAAAGAGGTGCTCACCATCCGAATCGGCAGGGGCAGTGGTTGTGTCATGTGCATCCGTGTCGTCTTCATCATCCGATTCCTGGTGGTCATCCTCAGAAGTTGGTGCATCAGGTGCATCTGAGCTGTCAGAAACCATGTCGACGAACTCAAACCCAAAAACCAAAGTCGCACCTTGCTGAACCTCCAAGCGGCCTCGCCTCATGCGGCCTCCTACAACGCGAAGACGCCAGCCTGGCGGTGGTAGGCGACCGGCCAGGGCAAGAAGATCGGTTTTGGGGATCCAAGGTCTATCTAGAACCAGGAAGTGGATCGTGGAAGCAACCTGTCTGAGGTCCAAGAAAATCACATACTGTGGGACCTCAGGAGGGAGAACGCTAGGGTCAACCAAAGCAATGACTCCTCGGGTGTCCACGCACTGATGCTGAAGGCGTGAGCACCCTTCGCCTCGTGGCGCATGGAATTCCACGGCCTCTCTAGCTACTCCGACGAATCTAGCCGCGGCTTCATCGACAGGTAGCTGGCTAGCTTCTGCACGGAAAAGGTATCTGCCTGTGCTATGCAGGAGCAGGAGTGCCCGAGGCCTCGACAGGACCGGTACGGAAACATCCTGCCTCCATGTGTGGGGGAGTTGCAGCCTATACTGCAAATCTGTTGCATGGTTGGGGTGGAGGTCTCCACGGAGAAAGGTAACCACACACCCGTTGGCTAGGGTCACAGCCTCGTCGTCTTCCAGAGGCAAAAGTTCCGTTCCTATGAAAACCTTACAGGGTCTTACCCCGTAAACCCCTGCCTGACGACACAATTCTGCCCGGCAGGTGGGTCTCGTGACGTAAACCGAAGTAAGTGGGCCTAGGTGCCGGTTACCTAAATCCCGCAGGTCCATGCAAACGAGCGAGAGGGAGGAATAGGCTGTCCAGTCCGGAGCCACCAAAAGCGTGGCGACTTCCGGAAGTGGTTGCGGTCTAACTGGAATGACTCTGCCAGAGAAAGAGGGGCGCAGCTCTCCAAGGCTGCGCTCGGCCGCGTCAACAAGGTCATCCACATCACATGGGAGACCTAGGGGAAACGTGATAGACTCGGCATGGAACCCTGGGAATAGAAAGACAGCATGACAGTGGACGTCATGTGTCGGGGCCGGAGCAGTCTGCCTCGCAAGAGCTGGTAGTACCCATCGCACAGGCTGTGGTGGCGGGGGCCCTTTCGGTGGGCTGACGGATGGGTGTATGACATCCGGTGCCCTGTTAGGCGGGAGGGCCAGGCCTGGGCCTAGGGGATCCGGAGGCTCAGGGTACACTCTGCCTGCAGGAGCGTCCCGAGGGTGCAATGGCGCTGGGGCAAGGTTGGAACCAGAGGGAGGTGCACTCATTGCAGTGATCGGAAGACTCCAAACCAGAAACCATCGAAGGAAACATGTGCACAAGGATCCAATCCACGATGGTTTGGCTCTTTGCAGGTGTTTGGGGGGGGTCAGGATCCTAGGGCAACCAAAGGAGGACCTAGAGGGGGAGCCTATACCCACAAGGGGGCGTAGGACACCGGTGATGACAGAAGTGTCACCTTTCGCGAAGGAAACCCTAGTTGACCACCTGCGAAAAGTGCTGACGTAAAGCAGCAAAAGAGACGCAAGCACAATGCCAGCAAGGGTATGGGCTACAGCTCGGAAAGCGTTCTCCAAAGCATATAGCACCTTATCAAAAAGAGAGCCAGTTGACATGAGGTCGACAGCATGCGAGGTAGCTACCCCTGAGCCACCGATGTAGCTTTTTGGCACCTGCATGCGGTCAGCAACATGCTCTTGCACAGGGTACCAACGATACACCAATGCATACCCACAAAACTGCGGCCGTTCAAGAAGCGAAACGGCAAGGGGAGAAACCGGGCCTAAACCTGAACTAGGGACGGGTGTGCAGGTATGAAGGTAGGCGGCCGGAAGAAAGGATTGAGCCTGTGCAAGATAGCAGCCAAATCCAAGGGCGCATTGGTCTTGACAACAGGCAGGCGGGGCCACACGTGCAAATGCAAAAACCCAATGCATCCACACGGCGGCAGAGGAGACAGAGACAGCACTAAGGCGGGCACTGCAACCACGGCAGTTCCAACCTACAGAGCTGCTCAGCAAGGTAAGGCCGGGGACAAAATCGGCCAAGAGGGCCTGTGGCATAACCCAACAGATTCGAAGCACATTGATGTCACTGCCGCAAAACAAAACTGTACAGGCTAGGCTCAGATCACAGGAGTGAGACCGCCCAACGCCATGCGTATCGCTCAGGATCGGTCTCTCTAGAGGGCATTGACCAAGGTGCAAAAGGCATACGGAAAACCTGAGACATCCCGGACAGGGGCAGGTTTTGCGTGCCATGGTGCTCCGTAGTCTGCCAACCAGAGAACTGACCCAGAGGTTTCCGCAGGCATTGAGCCTACCGCAACCATTCAGCCCGCATTGTAGGAAAGGCAGCTGAGGACAACTCAAGTCGAAGAGCGTCACTCCCTGGGTGCCGACTGTTCGGCCCTGCTCCTCGTAAGGGCAGCGATCTCCTCTGGTGAGAGCTCGTAGGCGGAGTCCTCCTCGAGATCGTCGTCCAGAAACCCCACAACAGACGGAGGGGGAGGTCCAGCCTGGTTGAGATGAGTGAGCCCAAAGGGTGTCATGGCCCGACTTGCACCTGCAGCTTCGGCCAAGGCCTTGCATCTCTTGTCTTGCAGGCGTTCGGTAAGCGATGGCTGTGCTGTCTGGGGCGCTCTGGAAAGCTTGGTGGCTTCCTTGATACCGAGTCGTGGCGGTGCCTCCGACGTGGGTACCCGAAGTTCCTCCATCGCCCTTTGGCCCGGATGCTTGGGGGCCTGACCTGGACTGAGGCCTGGAGGTGCCCCTGCACATGCACTGGTATGAACCGGAGGGGACGGAGCGGAAGGTGCAAAGTAGGGATCCGTCCTGGCACCAACAGTCACCGCGGTGGCGGCTGGAGGGACCTCGGCAGTGCTCATCAACCCTGGACCAGGGGTCCTGGGTGGAATCGTCCTCGGGCGTACCGGCGTACTCACTGCTGGTGGCTGCTGCATGGCCCTGGCAAGAACACCACTCCAGTCTGGGGCAGCTTGCTCTCCACATCCGGCAAAGAGTCGCAAAGTGTCGTCGTCGACCGTCCCTTGTTGCATAGGCGCGGCAACAACCGCACTGGGTCCGGTAGAGTCGCCGAGATGCAGAGCACGGATACCTTGCCGGGCAACCTCTTGGTGAGTTTCTGCCTCCTTCTGATCGGCCACCAGTTTGGCCATTTTGTGCTTGTACCTCTGCTTCTCCCTTGCGAAGGCCTCCATTGCAGAGCGCTCGTAGGCAGTCCACTGCTTCTCCATCTTGAGGCGTGCTTGTTCGAGACGTTGGACCTTTTGCTCGGCCTTGCGAGCATGGTTCAGTGCCGCTTGGAAAACACTCAGGTAATCCTCGCCACCAGGATCGTTCTCGCGGTTCTCGGCACCAGCCCTCGCATTGTACTGGCCTGCATCGAAGGCGGGGAAGCTCACTGCCTGCTGTTCCCAGCCCTTCCAGTTGTCTGGCTTCCGCGAAGCTTCGGCCCTGCCTTTGGGAGAGGCATAGGCTCCACGCCACAACGAGTATGAAGAACTCGCATGGCCTTGACTTTCCCATCCTCGATCCTTGGCTCGATTGTCTCTGCGGCCCATACCCTGGGACTGCAGTAAGCGAAGTCGTTCTTGAGCACCGGTAGCGTGGTGCCTGGCCAAAAGGAGAGCTTGGCGGTGCCGAAGGGGAAAGCCAGAAGCTCGAAGCCGGCGAAGTTTGGATCTCCTTGCACGTGCACGACGGTGCCAGGCAGGAGAGTTAGGAGGCCGGAAATGGCTCGGAATCCCTCCTAACAGCGTGCGGTGTTCGCACTGGGGCTCAATGTTCCGACTTGCGGCGATTTGAGCCCTTGGGGCACAATATAGTACAAGTATAACAAGGATCCATAGGAATAGTGTTCTGGTTCTGGTGGGTAATCATTCCGGCCTCTATAGCAACCCTAAGCCCTGCGCACCTCTCGGTTATCGAAACGCTTGTCCAACAGCTCGATTCTCACTCAAGGACCTGCGAAGCAACGCGTTCTGCATGTGTATCTTTTTGGGGGTATTGAATGTTGGGGTTGAGGGCTTTGGCCCCAATCATCAGCCCTGAACCCCAACCCAAAATAGGGGCATGGCTGCAGCTACCTACACCCTCCATCTACCTCCTGGTTGACCCTAAATACCCACCAGACCTAAGACTAACCTAGGAATTAAAAGGGTGCCCTGCTTGGTTTAAAGAGGGCTATGAGGGAACCTGAACGCTAAAACGGGGAAAAGGGGCTTACTCTGGGGCCTAACCCATTTATTCGGGACCATCTACCCCTATTCGAGGGTCCTGGTAGGGGCATGGGTCCAATGAAGTTCCCAGTGAGGCTCGGGAGTCGAGCTCTGAACCAAAACCCTAAGCCTAAAGTCCGAAAGCCCTGAACAGCACGAGTCCTACATCCTTAACCCAACGCCCAAAACTCTATGCACTAGTTATCCTAAACCCTTATAAGATTAGGGCATGGAGTTTTGAGGCTCTGGCCTGCGAGGGCTTAGGGGCGTCAGGAGGCTCATGCGCGTTTAGGCCGCAGTTCGCACCCGAATCATGCAATGCAAGAGGAGGCCTTTCGGGTTTAGGGTGGCTTAATGTTTAGGGTTTAAGGCTTACGCCCTGAAACGACCCTTGTTGTCAGATGATGTTGCTAGCCTCTTCTGCAGCGCGGCGAGATCGCTTTCAGCCACCCTGCTAGCCATGGGTCCAGGAGTCATAGCGACCATGGCTTGCACCCCTGTCGCCTCGACATCAACATGCTATGAGTAATTATGAGCACATGGTTAAATCCCAATTTCTAAACCTACTGCGTGGAAGTACTTGTTACAACCATGGCAAAAGATAGTCGTCGTCATTGATGCATTTGCTACTGAGCTGCTACTGAAGGCTACCAATGTTTTTCTGCCCTAACGATGGGTACTGGCGATCCAGGTATGACAACAGCCGTGCTTCCGTCAAGGCACAGACGCACAGCACTCCTGCTTCCTAAGCACCTAGAGTCGTACTACTCAGACTCTGCGAGCTTGAGCACCATGGTT